CTGGAATTGAACCCACTCCTGTGGCTTCCAGCCAAACAAAAGACAGGCATATGAGCTGAACATTTACATTAGGTAAATACACTCCTTGGAGAGAACAATAACGGGAGAATAGAAGGGCTGTGTACACATAGGGACATAGCTCAGGGGGCAGGAGTGCATGCAGGGATGGACACAGGGAGGGGGTAACTATGGGGAAGAAGTGGGAGGGGAGCCATTGCATTGTGGTAAATTGTAGTCAATGTCAGGAGACAAGGTGTATGTGAACTGCTGTATGGAAAGTGAATTTGCTTTGTAAACTTTCACCCAAATCACAATAAAAAATAAATTAAGCTGGAATTAGAAAAATAAATAAATAAGCTGGAATACCATTTGACCCAGCAATCCCATTACTAGGTATATATCCAAAACAAGTGAGAGCCAGGACAAGAACAGATATATGAACACCCGTGTTCATCACAGCACTATTTACAACAGCAAAAAGATGAAAACAACACAAGAGTGTATCTACCTAATGTAAATGTTCAGCTCATATGCCTGTACCCATCAACAGAATGGACAACCAAACTACAATACATACACACAATTGAATACTATGCAACACTAAAGAATGTAGGATCTGCAAAACATGGCATCACATGGATGAACCTGGAGGACATTATGCTGAGTGAAGTAAGTCAATCACAAAACAATGAATACAGTATTAATTCATCATTGTAAAAAGTCACGGAAAGGTTTATATATGGAAGGAAACTTTCTTTGTTGGTTACAAGGGGTCAGGGGGGAGGATAGGGAACACTGCAAAAATAAAATAAAAGTGCATTGACCCATGTCACTTTAGTTTTGTATATTTAACTGTACATAAATTATATTTTAATAAAATGTATTTAAAAAAAAATAAGTAACTGGTACTGACCTGTCACTCCAAAGTGATTCTGTAAGTTCTTAAGTCTTAATAGGGGAGATGACCTTAATGACAATCAGTAGCTACAGCTGGAAAAAGGACTGATTCCATAGGATATCAAGGCTCGTTGAAGTTGAAGAACCAAGGAGGTACTAATATCCGTTGGGAAAGTGTGAGTGCCAGGTATAAGGGGGTGGGACTGGGGAGGAGGCCTTGTTCAGCCTGAGGGCTCTGATACTCCAAAGTATGGTAAAAATATTATAGGAAAGTGACAAACTCTTTAAAAGAAAGAAACTCAACACAGTAATTTCAAGAAGCTAACTGCTAGGAAGAAAGGCCTAGCAATCTACTTCCAAAAATCAGCCAATGAAAACCCTAGGTATTCCAACAGTCCAATCCTGTTGTGCAGGGGGTCATCACGAGTTGCAGGCTAACTTGACAACCACTGACAACAACAATCATGAAAATAAATTGGAAAAAAAAAAGCTAAATGCTTTAACTTCATTAGGACTTGTTTTTCTTATCTACTTCTTCATCCAGGGGAATGGATTTTTTACTTATAATAATAAAACACACCTAGAGCAGTATGTGGTAGCTCTGGTGGTATAGTGCCTAAGGCATCTGACTGCTAACCAGAAGGCTGGAGGTTCAAACCCACCAGCCGCTCTTCGGAAGGAAGACTCGGCAATCTACTTCTGCAGAGGTACTACCTCAGAAACCCAAGGAGGGGCTGGTATGAGTTAATAGACTCCACGGCAACTTGTTTGGTGTGAGAGCAACACATAAGGCTGAATTAGAGAGTAGTGGGAGGAGGATGTGTTAAGATAAAAAATTGAAACGTCCACAAATATCTCTTTCGTCCTCGTGTGTCCCTTGAATGTATTTATGGATTTATTAAGAAAGGCAAAGTCCAACCATCTTCCTTGAAGAGCAAATCAAGTACTCAGTAGCCATACATTTTTATCACTAAGAAACAGATTTAGACCAAGTCTTTGAGTAAACACTAGCATACTGAGTGAGTTTATATCTTAATGAAAGTCAAAAACATAAACAAGCAAAATAATTATAAAAAATGAAAACTCAAAGAGATTCTTACCTTTTAAATATCAGCTGCAAAAGGCCAGAAGTATTACCAAGGGCACATAAGCTATCATATGTAATATTCATTCTTTGAAGCATTTCACAAAATCCAGTTACAAAAATAGGTGGATTGTCTAATTCTTCACACCATTGCAGTGAATAGAGCAGTTCTGCAACTAACAGAACGGACAGCACCAAATTTTCAGGTGTACTTTGTGAACAAACCCTGCAATCATTTTCATGTCTCTACCTCATTTTATAACACTGCTATGCCCATTCATTTCAAAACATCTATAATATAATTTTAAAATTAGCTTAGATTGTTCAATGATTATGAAATGTGAGAATACTTCAGTACAAAATACCTTCTCCCAAATCTTACTTGGTCTCTTTCTGACTAGTTAACAATGTGACAGGAATCTAAGTTACTGGAGATAGCAGAAGAATCTTCCTATTATTTCTACCACAATTGGTAAGAGGCTGCATATAAGATAAACAATTGAGGGACTTCAAGACCTGAGACAAGAAAATCATTGCCAATATGGCAGGAAATGGGTGATAGCATGATAAAGTAAAAAGGCATGGGCTTTGGGGACAGTGTTTGGGTTCAAAGCTCTGTTTTGCCATAAGTGTATACACAAGTTATCAGCTAGGATACTAAAACCTACCTCATAGGTCAGTGGTGAGAATTAAATGACCAAGTGTCTATCATAAAACCTCACATGTAGTAGGGCTTCTGATTGAGGAGCAGTCAACAAACTTCCTTTACTAAACTATACATGGGTTTCAGAGCCATTAGACCTCCAACCTGGTTCAAAATTGATTTCTATCCCTTATAAGCCAAATAGCTCTAATCAAGTCGAGATTAAAAAAACAATAATATCTGACTTAACGGACTGATAAGAAGATTAAATAATATCACAGTTTATAAGTAGTATCACAATTAACAAAAATAAATTATTATAATGACTCTAATTTCCATGTGTGTGCTTGGAGAGTCACTCTGTGATCTTATCTCCTTGTCCTTTACCGAACATGGACCCAGCTGACCAAAAGAGGTGCTTCTGTTTTCAGCATTCTTTTCTTCCAAAAGGACAATAAACAACTAGTAACTACTAGAGATAGGTTTAAAAAAAAAGACTGACACAAGGTTTATGCAACTCCTCTTTTAATAGTATCTTGTAAATGTCATACTGACACCTACAATTCTAAGCCATTTCCTAGAATGGGGGAATCATGGCAACTCCATGTGTGTCAAAGTAGAACTGTGTTCCACAGGGTTTACAATGACTTTTTTTTTTACATATAGGTTTTCAGGCCTCTCTTCCAAGGCATCTCTGCTCTAGATGGACCCAAACCATCAACATTTTTGTTAGCAGCTGTGGTGCTTATATTTGTGTGTCAACTTGGCTGGGCCTGGTTGAGTGGCTGGGCAGCTGGTGGTAGTTATTCCCCATGATGAGACTGGCAATCAACTCCATGGTGGGATCTACCACAAGCAGCTGAGTAGCTGCCTTTGGGATGTGGTCTGCTTCCCACATAAGGAGAAGCCTTGGGAATGGTCTCTAGCCTATGGCATGCTTGGACCCTGCATGTAGCCGTATTGGTGGTGCTCAGCAGCCTGCTATGCTCTGCCGACCTTGGGACATACAATACACTTAAGTTAATGGCCTGCCATGTAGTTTGGTAACGTCGGGACTGCCTTTTTACTTCTCAACCTTGGAGCTTCTCAGCCTCAGCAGCCTGTAGCTGTCTGAGTGAAGATATGCCTCTAGCTCCAGTGGGCCTGGAGCAGGAGGCAGAGCTGGACCCCAAGGTTGAGGGGCTTTCACCAGCCCCTAGAGCCTGGCACTTTGAACTTGGACTTAAAGCCTCCAGATTGTAAGAATAAACTCCTGCTTGTTTAAGTCATCCCATTTGTGGTATATTCTTGTCTGAGCGGTACTAGGTAACCAGAACAGCAGCCAAGCGCTTAACTGTTTGCACAACCCAAAGACTCCAAATTTTCTTAGGATTTCAACATCTGAACATCCTATTAACCAAGAAAAGAATCATAGCCTATGAATGAAAAGGTTACATGGTTCAAAAAAGAAAACAAAAAAACAGTGAAAATTCAAAGTCCTTGATGAAATATCAGAGTTTTGCCTAATCTATTTTTTTTTTTTTAAAGGTATGTCCCATAGATTTGGTATATACCAACATCATTCCAGTTTGAGTAACTGATCTTCTGCCAAATTATGCTCTACAGCTAAAAAGATTATAGTAAGGTTTATGTATGTTTTCATCCAATTTGCAATTTGATTTAACATCCTTTACTGACCTCACATTCACCTTCTCTACGATAGTTAGTAGGAAGCTAAAGATTCTTGAATTACGTAAAGATTAAATTGCAGTGTGATCAAAATTATATTCATTTGTACATCATTTTATATCTGAATGCTCATTTATACTTACTTATTTTCTCAAGCTCATTATTGTCAAGGACTACTTCCTTTTTCAGTGCAACTAAGATCATTTTGCTTAATAATGCTGAAGTACATAAATGGCTAGGAAGTGTCTTTATATCTTCTTCCTTAAAATCTGTTTTGAAACATTCATGATTCAAACTCAATCTTCCTTCTAAAAGAGGCCTGTGCAACCACTATAAAAAGAAAATATTAAATTGCATATAAAATCATTAGATATTTAAATTATTTACTACTAAGCTACTAAGACTAAGATTAAAAAAATGAAATTATTGAAAAATCTATTTTATTAGTAAAACTACAGAAACAGCAGTTTGGTCTCTACTACAGGGAATTATCAGCACATATTTATTTAAGACTCCTTAAAAACAGAAGTAGGTCTTGTTCATCTTTGTCCCATGGGTTCTGCCAATGTCTAAAGGTGAAGAGCAAACATCAACTATACAAGCATTCAGAGGAATAAAGGCAAGTAAAATACTCATTTCATGTACTTTTTTCCTTCCCTAGGACAAAACAAAAAACATTTGGGCTTGCATGAAATCCAAACTTCAGAATGAAATATGCACTCAAAAATTCCAAACATGCCTGCATAGGAAGAGACTCTCTCATCTGCTCCCATTCACTGTCGTTTGGCATAACATTTCCAATATATGCTCTCAGAAGATTAGTATCTTTACTCTCCAGAAGTTTATTCAGGAAATCATCAACCGTAGACAAGAGGACTTGGAGACTGAAAATAATGACAAGAACTTACTGTGACAGTTATGGTATGGCTAATTTGAGTACCCTCATATACGTTAACTACCCTGTGGCAGATAATAGCATACCTGAACAAGGGAACAGGTACAAACAGAAGTGACTCTCCACATCAGACACAGTCAATTTGGGGATTTAACCCAACATTTATGATTAGAAATTGAGTGCTGCTTCTACCTCAAAATGAAGGGAACCTGACCTGTTTCAGATCAGATTATTTCTTACTCTAAGAAAAGAGAATGATCAAAAAAAGATGACTCAATTCCCATAGACTCTGCATGCATTCTCTCAGGTTTTACTTTTCTAAGTAGTTAGGTAAAAACAAATAAACAAAAAAAGTGAAATACAACAAGTTGAAATTCAACTTTGTAACAGTTGATATTTACCTTTAAAACAAATGACCAAGAATAATCACTAGTGGTAGCCACTGAGAGGTTATGGTTACAATGTGTATCTGTCTACAACACAGGTGTGGTGGCTAAGGTTGTGTGTCAACTTGGCTGGGACGTGATTTTAAGTGGCTGGGCCACTGGCTGAGGTTATTCCTCATGATGAGACTAGATGTGGTGGAATCTCCACCCTCCGTGGTGGAATCTGCTGTGAGCAGTTAATCAGTTGAAGAAGAGTTTCCTTTGGGGTGTGGCCTGCTTCTAGTATGTAAAGAAAGGATCCTGCATTTGGCTGAGTCTTCATCTCCAATTCCTGGACTTGAACCAATAGTCTGCCGTGTTGCCTGCTAATCTTGGAATTCCTCCTTCATAGTCTGTGAGCCAACAATCTGCCATTATATGTGCCAATCTTAGTCAACCTCAGCAACCGGCAGCTGTATGAGTCAGGATAAGCCTCCAGCTTGCTCTGGAAGGCAAAGCAGAAGCCCCAGGTCAAGAGGCCTCCACCCAGCCCTAAAAGCAGGCACCGTGAACTCAGATTTCTAGTGCAGTCTTCCCCTAGAGCCAGCACTGTGAATTCAGACTTCTAGCCTCCTAAACTGTAAAAGAATAAATTTCTGTTTGTTGAAGCCATCTACTTGTGGTATTTCTGTTATAATAGCACTAGAGAACAACAACGGGAAAGGACAACCATCACAAGACTGACTGTAAATTAGGAGTCCAGCAGGGCATGTTATAACAAATCATTCTTCAATTAAGTGACAGCTTAAATGGATGACCATTCAAATAAAATCTTTCTAGAAAAATTTGGTTGTGTGGATCTTCTTTTGAATTCTTATACAACAATATACTTTTCATAGGCACTCACACAAATTATAGAATCTTACATATTTAAGGACAGAGATCAAATATATGACACTGCAAATAAATACAAAAATAAAAAGGTTACCTTATGATATTCAAAGATGAAGACTGAACTTGGTTCTTGAGCCAAAGAGCAGACAAACGTAGGAAGGTACTCTGTTTATATGTACTGTCACTTTGATGGACCAAGACATTTATACCAGACAGCCAAGTATTTTTCAGTTTACAGATAAGAAAGTCTAAAATCAAGATGTCAACAGAAATTTGTAATCTCAATGAATTACTTCTTATCAGTACAAAATATCTGAAAGAACTCATTGCAGATGTGAAAATTTTAAGGTATCATTTAGAGAAGAAAACACAAAATTGATATTCAATAGTCAAAATAACTGTAGCATAAACATGCAATTGTACATGATAATTCATACCATATAAACATAAAAATGGTCAGATTTTAAAAGTTAGTTTTTCTTAAACTCTGAGCTTATTTGTAAAAGTTGTCCTTTTTAGAGATGAGAAACATTATACCTTTCCAAATAGAGAAGTTAGCACTAAAGAGGCTAGAAGAGGAGAATTCTCTATCAATACTATTTTTTTTTGCATTCCTTTCATAAAGAAGTCTGAATTAACATACAAGGACAAGAAAACAGTCTCAAAACAATCTTAATTTCATTTTGAGGTATGCCAAGATTTAATGTTTTTAACTGCAAGACAAAGGGAGATATTATTATCCTTTTATAAATGAGGAAACTGAGGCATTAAGCAACTTCTCAGAGCTCCCAAGTAGAGGAACTAAGATTCCAATTAATCTATCATGGCCTTTCCCAAAAGGTATTTCCTTTACACTAAGTAAGGATTTTAGACATAACATCTATATACATCTTTAACTGGGTTTCTAAAGGTTAAAGTGTATAAAATTTGTAATCCTTTACTAGCAATGCTTTAAACTTCCAAACAAAATTCAATTGTTAAAGCCTTAGCACTTACACTCACTACAAAGGTCAGAGCTAAAGTTTCCCAACAAAACATTTGAACAGTAGGCTATTACCTGGCAAATGTGTTTCTTCTTTGCTCTGAGCACATAACTGAAAGAGAGTTAATAACAAATCTTCAGATGATGGCATTAGCAAACATCCTTTTGCTGAGTTGAAATAATTATAGGCCACATCACAGACATAAGGCAGTGATGAGTCATTATTTTCAGCTTCTGACAATGTCTTTGTTTTGGATAAAGTTTCATGAAGTTTAACAATAATTCTTTCAACATATACTTCTCCAATCAAGTAATCTAGAGAAATAAAAGTTCAAACAGACAAAAAAAAAAGTAAAAATATTAACAATGTATTTTTCGCATATTTTATTGTGATAAACATGTAGGTAACAAAACATAACCATTTCAAAGCTCTTCACATGTACAGTTCAGTGACATTAAATACTTTCACCATGTTGTTCAAGTATCACTACTGACTGTTCCTAAATTTTTCCATCACCCTTAATAGATGCTCAGTGTCCCCTAAGCCTTGTGTCTTCCTTCTCCCCTAACCCCTGTCTGCCCTGGGTAACCTACTAATAAACTTTCATCTCAACACATCCGCCTATTCTAGATATTTCATATAAATATTATATAATCTTTGTCCTTTTATTTCACTCAGCATAATGTTTTCAAAGTTAACAGTATATTTTTTAATACCTTACTTCAGGTTAATAACCACTGCTTTTTCTAAGTTTTTTAAAGACATTTATGTATTAGACAAAAGTAAAGCATAACCACCACAAACCTTTTGTTTTCTCACACATAGAAGTCCTCAGGTAAAAAAGTAGTTTTATATCAAATAAAAAAGAGTTATATTCTACAAAATGAGAACAAGGACCTTTACTAAACTCAAAACCTTTCAGCAGAATATAAAAGTAAAAATATTAAATATCTTCCAAGTCATGCTACAGAGATTAATAAACCTTTAATGATTTTACAAAATTAAGATATTTGAATCAACTAAGCCTTGTGATTCTCAACCAATAATCTGCAAGATGAGCAGTATAGAATACTACCCCCCCCAACCCCCGCTCCCAGCAAAGTGAAAGAGACTATCCCCTACCAGAAAAAAAAACCATGTTTTTGCCTACCATTTTCGATATGTTGGGATAATACCAAGCTTAGAAGGGTCCATCTTTCTGAGAAGTAAGATTCTGTGGTTTCCAAGCCCATATTACATAGATGCTCTGCCAAGTTTACCAATTTCTCTCCAAGGATCTCTCCTTTTAGCCAAAGAGTTACTAAAGCATGTTTATCTAAACTAGAACATGCCTAAAATCATAAAAATTAAAGCAAAATTAGAAACAAGGTAAGAAAATAATCTGCCCAAAATACTACCCTATCACTTCTCTTATATCATTGTAGTCCCAGAAATACTACCGCCTAACTTTCTCCTCCTCAATTTGTAGGAAGTCTGGTATTCCCTGTTCCCTACTTCTTCTTGTTAGGCATCGCTGAGTTAATTTTGACTCACAGCAATCCCATGTGACAGACCAGAACTGCCTCATAGGGTGTTTTAGGCTGAAATCACTATAGGAGCAGATCTCCAGGTCTTTCTCCCACAAAGCTGCTGGGGAGGTTCAAACCGCCAAACTTTCAGTTAAGAGTTGAGTACTTATTAGCATTGGTGATGTTCACATCCATACTTACCTCATGCTATCTTCACTACCATAAATATCCCCTCTTCTTTACTTATCAAAACCCCAACCATAAATCCCACATGCTTCATGAAGTATTACCCTTCTACTCTAGCCCATACTGTCACTGCTTTTCTGACTTTCTAAAGCACTTACTGAACTGTGTTATAATTTAAATGTTTCATCTCTGTATGTCTTGTCTTTCCATGAAACTGTAAATTCCTTGAGAGCAGAGACCATCTTAAACTTCTTTGATACCTGCTATCAACACTGTAGATATGTTTAAGGAATAATGAATGGATGAACTTCGAAGACATTTATTAGTGCTCTATAAATATTAAATTTTTGTTCATTAATTTTGATAAAATTAAAGAACACTTAATGTATAATCTTGGTAAATTGCTCCAATATGAACAATGGGACATATTATTTCCCCAAACTCTCTGAAATAAAGTTACTGGGGCCCAGTATCTGGCTGCAACTGGTTTATTTTCACAGTGTGGGGAAACGAGAAGGAAAAAAAAAAAAAAAAAAGGCAGTAAATCCATCCCTAAAAGTATGTTGATCCATGTTCCCAGAGCTTCTTTTGCTTTTAAGGGATGAGAAGAAAGGAATTTGCAACTTGGTTCATCTCAAAGCAATCTGGAAAAAAAAGAAATCCAAGTGCAGATTGTGTAGTGACTAAAAAATTGCTTACCTTTTTATTTTAAAAAGCTGTAGGTAACTATAGCTTGTTATTTAGAACAAGCTTTACCACTAAACTATCTTGTGATCTTGGACATATTTCTTAACCAACCTGGGAATGAAAAGATTAACCTAGAAAAACTTCAAGGTTCTTTTCTGGTTCTAAAATTCAAGTCTATTTATTTTGAAAGATGCTGATTTTAAGACTCTGCTCTTATACTATTAGGGTTGCACATATATAAGGAAAACTATTCTATAGTTTAGAGGGCTTTAGTATTGGTTTCTCTAAAATAGTTTAGCAAATGAAAATCAATTCATTCTAAAGAGTCCTGGTAGAGACAACAAACCACTGAATCAAATATCTCTCAGATTACCAGGCATGAAGTTTAACTTCTCAGTGTAACAACAGATCTTAAGAAATCTCTCCAGGGACTGAGATTAGTTACTCCTGGAAGGAGAGGAGGAACATACTGACCATGAACTTCCTCACACTACCAGGAAAGAGAGATTCTTCTGGACTACCAGGTAGGCACATTCCTAAGCTAGATATGGATATATCAGCTGACTTTCATAAAATTAACTTCCCTTGCTCTAATTCCAGACTTAACCAACATCTTCTGACTTGGCTTTTCATGTAGATTGCCTACCAGCAGAGAAAGCACTGGGTAATCTAATGCAAATGGTGTGCCTTATAGTTATATTTCTCACGGAAAAATTTTAAATTATCCTGTATTGATTTACAAAAACAACTTGTAAATTAAAACTTATTCTGCTATGTAAAATAGATAAATATTTTTAATGCTAAAAAAGGAAGAATTTTACACAGAAAGTCAACTCTACAGTTGAAAAAGTGTTAGTTTTGATTATATTATTTACATCTTCATTACGAATGAATATGTAAGCACATTTTAAAATTTCTTAATTATATATGATCCTTGAATTCTTTTCATTATGCTTATCACTAATTTTCTTATGTAGTAAAGTGACATTCACATAAAGGCTAGAAGAGTTTAATTTGTCTGCATAGTATTCCAGAGTAGGAATTCATTAATTTCCTCACGCTCTAGCCAAAGCTAGAACCATTCAATCTATTTCTACAGAAGGAAAAGTAATTAGGGTAAGAATAGAAATCTGTGGCTTTAGTTTAAAAGAAAACAATGTTTATTTTATTCTATGTTACCTGCTAGGAAAGGAACATTGGCTATTTATTCCAGAGGCTGTTTATTCTTCCCCAATTATCCTAACCCAGAAAAATAATACCACAGAAAGGTAAATACCCAATGTTCTTCACAAATTACGGGAAGAAAGTTACAATAATAGGGAAATTCTCTAATATAGACACCTGACCACATACTAGTATATGAATATGACTGTGGTTTTAAATTCTTCTACACTTATAAACACAAACAAAAAATTTCTAAGATACCTTTTCAATAACCTGAAGAAGAGAATTCCATTTCAGCTCCACCTAAAAGATGAAAAAGAGTAAGAAACAATCTGTTAAAAAGAATAACAAAACCCATAAAGTAACTGAAGTGACCATGTAACTAATTCAAAACTGAAACTTTTTGAACTAGATACTCCACTTACAAAGAATGGACTGAGTGAGTGCCAACTGAAAGCAGCCATCTAAGATGCAACAACTGGTCTCTCCACTTATGGCACAAATAAGAATGAAGAAAACCAATGATATTGGGAGCAATTAGTCCAAGGGACTAGTGCACCATGTGAACCTCAGCCTACATGACCCAGATACCAGGAGACCTACATATTTTGCCTGGCTACCACTGTCAACCACTAAAAAAGGGATTAGTGCAGTAGATTCTGGATAGAGTAGGAGAAAAATGTGGAATAAACCTCAACATCATAAACAAAAAGACCAGGCTTAATGGTCTAATAGAGACTGGTGAAACCCCCAAGACTATGGCCCCTAGTCTCCCTTTGGGCCTAGACTTGAACTCACTCCCATGGCTTCCAGCCAAACCAAAAAAAGGCATATAAGGTGAACATTTACACCAGGCAGGCACATTCTTTAAAACAATCAACCATGGGAGATTAGAAGGGCAGTATTTGCACAGGGAGGTAACTCAGAGGGCAGGAATGCATAGGAAAGGATGGCACAGGGAAAAGGTAACCACAGGGAGGAAGTAGAAAGAGAGCTGTTACATTGTTGTTGTTGTTGTTGTTGTTATGTGCCCTGAGTTGGACCTGACTCATAGCGACCCCTCCTTGGGTTTCCGAGGCAGTATCACTACGGAAGTAGATTGCCCCATCTTCCTTCCAAGGAGTGGCTG